AAGACTGCAACATTTCTTCTCATCTTCAAGGACACAGGATCAGAACCGACCCTTTTCATTTTCTTCCTGCCGGCTGAAAGGCAGCATTCTGAGTCTTCTCTCTTTGGACTTGTTGCTTCTCAAAGTTCTCCCTTGTTGTTTCTCTAGAATAGTCTCTCTTTCCAAAGAAACTTGGTGTATATTGATAATACATCCCATGGATCTGTTACTTCAACCAGTCATTGCCTTGCATTGCCAAACAATGTTCTATGTATGTGTCTTGTTTTGCCAACTATAATTGTGAGCCCCTTAACCTTATTAGAATTCCCTCCAGTTAGGTACATAATACAGACACTCTGTAAATATTTTTGAATTAGTTTTCATACATTGTTCTACCCTCAAGGATCTTAGAGTTTCACTGGGAAGGCAAGGGATACCCAGGTGAAACAGTTCAATAACAGAGCGAAGTGGCATTAATTCAGTGCCAGATGTGGAACCGTAGACCCAGGAGGTACAATGCTGAGGATGTCAGAGGAAAGTCACCAAGCCGGACCATTCTGAGAAGGCTCCCAATTGCCTGTAACAGTTGTTACTTGTTCTAAGAGGGTAAGTCAGTAGCCGCTTTCGGAGTTGGCCTGGTTTTACAAATTAATCTGGCTGTCAGAGTAGCATTACTGCAATTGTCATTTTGTCCTTTGCATACTGATATCTCTGCTTCCCCAAAGGGATTTATTCTGCAAACAAGCCCAGCTCCTGGCCCCTAGAAATATCACAGCGAAGTTCTCTTCTGTCCTCCTTTCCCACTCTCCAAAACGCTTTCATCATTCGTGTTTTTTTTAAACTTCTGTTTCTGTGAAAAGATTTATCTTTATGGTTCAGCTCTCTAAAAGAAAGAGCTGATAGCACGAGAGTGGGCATAGAGAGGACGCATATGCCTTCCTGCACTGCTCTCTGGGTGCTGCACTTGTGCTTTTAATCCTGCTGCTGTCAAGCTCCATTAGGAGATTGGAGCATCAGCCTCCTACCTTTGGGGCCTGGCCTTCCATCAGCCCTGACTGAAATGAGGATGGTGTTTGAGATGGGTAATCAAGCAGAAAGACAGGTTAGGTATCACAAAGAGCCCCACCCTAATCCACTATCCTGATGGCGCAGTCACCTTACACATCACACAGGGTCATTTATCCTCCCATGTGCAAACACTGACTGCCATTAGGGGAAGCCATCTGAATGCCATGTGTTGGCACCCATACAGTGATTTAAAACAGCAGAAGAAGAGGAAGGCTAAGAAATGATTTCTTCTTTCTCGAAACGTAGAACAGTGTAGAAGGAGAGGACCACCGACGCCCATCCCAGGAAGCAAAGTTATTCAGATCAATCCTGGTGATCACGGGTGACAGATGTTTCAGCCTGACATCTGGCCTCTGATGTAGCTTTAGTGAGAAGCAACACTTAGACTTTCACCTTAGAGGGCTGGCAGTAAGTTTCTTGGAACGAAAAGGCCCCTTAAATGACACCCTCTTTCCCTGCATTTGATATGAAGCAGAAACCAGTGCTACAGGAAGACTCAGAAGGAGGTGTTTGTGTCTCTAGCTGAAATTAACGCCTCTGTTGTCATCAGCAGACAATGTTAAGTGCTCAGCTATGCAAGTTATCGTGCTGGATCTAAAACCAGAATCTATATATTTTTTGTGAGCTCTTAAAGCTCCTTTCTTCAAACTGTTTTTTTGTGTATAAAAAAGCACTCTTGGCCGGGCGCCGTGACTCAAGCCTGTAATCCCAGCACTTTGGGAGGCCGAGGCGGGTGGATCACGAGGTCAAGAGATCGAGACCATCCTGGTCAACATGGTGAAACCCTGTCTCTACTAAAAATACAAAAAATTAGCTGGGCATGGTGGCGCATGCCTGTAATCCCAGCTACTCAGGAGGCTGAGGCAGGAGAATTGCCTGAACCCAAGAGGCGGAGGTTGCGGTGAGCCGAGATCGTGCCATTGCACTCCAGCCTGGGTAACAAGAGCAAAACTGCGTCTCAAAAAAAAAAAAAAAAAGCACTCTTTTCTATATAAAAGATCTTTTTTCTTAAGGTTCTTTTTGCGAAAAAAGGCACCGATGTGCATTCAGCAAACCTTGAAAACTGCAAAAGTGACAACAATGAATAGATGGCACATAAAGCTCCAAATCAGTGTTGGTTGGGAAAACAACTGGAAAGGTTATGAGTGCCAAGTCTGTCTCGCTCCCACAGCTAACTGTTAGAGTATATGGTTTTTCTTTCAGGAAAGCGCAAGGTTTACTTAGAGGTTTCTTTGCTGAGCCAGGTATTTACTTTGGAATTGTTATTTATTTTTTATTTGTTTTATTTAATTTGGAATCAAAATGAATTTGCAAAAGAGAAAGTTATACATTAGCACCTGCAATTAGTTTTTGGTGATACAAACGTGACACATTTCTTGAAAAGGTTAATTGCGCTTTCTTTGCCAGGTGAAAGCAAAGATTTTTCTTATATTGTGTATATAGTCGGGGGACAAATATATTTTATACTGGAAGATTAAAACAAACTGAGACAGGATGACCTGGGAAGAGAGAAGATATATAAATTGATGAGGTAATATACCACGAAAAACCACAAACGTGAGTTTGGCTGTGGAGCAGCAGAGGAAGTGGAGTAGCTGTAAATGTCCGGATGCCACTGAAAAAACCGTTTCTGATGCAAGAGCTTGAGAGAGCAAAACTGAATTAAGTACAAGGATTAGGGTTCTTCTCCAGATGGCGATGGTAACAGTAGTGAAAGCAACTGGGATGAAATTTCCACAGAAAATAGAGCAGTTTGCTCTACAAGGCATGAAATATGATCCACAAGTAAATTGTTGTGGTAGATTTTTAACTATAACTTCCAGTACAGGAAGAAAATATTGACTTGTCATGCCCACTTTGAGCTAAATAAACAATGCTCAGCTCTGAAGCCACCCTAGCAAGATGAAGCATTGCCAAACTGCAGTATTTGGAATGGCCCCTCGTGACTCCCTGTGTCTTCATGCAGTCTGTTTATTTCTAGAATACCATTTTTCTCCCGTGTACCCATTTACCTGTTCATACACTACATAGAGTCATATTTGTCAAGGGCAAATATGACATCATTGTGAAAAGCAAATATTACATCATTGTAGAGGGCACATATTACATCCTTGAAAGCAACATGAGACCATGGTGCCAACAACCAAGTTCAACATCTATTTAGATCTTTTTTTCATAATTTAGCCACTTACAGACTTGATCCCAATATGTAAAATGGGCCAATAATCCAGTTCTTGTAAACCCACAGACGATCCCAACCATGTGAATTAACTGTCGAATACGGTAGTGTGTTGAGAAGCATAAATATGTGAAGTCTTGCCCATCTCCAGTAGCTAAAAACAGACCAAAGGCCAACAAATTCTATTGCATTAAATCCTTCTTCTTTCAGGTTTTAGAGCAGTTGCAGGAATCACTTACAGAGGTTTCAAATCTGAGTAAGAAATTGCTCCTTACTCATTTACTAAATTACCCCATAGCTGTTTTGTGGCTTTTTGTTCAAGAACAGAATCATCATCCTTAAATATCATCTGGTGACCCATGCCAAGATGGAAATTGGATGTGAACTTTGCTTTATATGGAAACATAGATGCTCTAATGCTCTTTGGTGCTGGGCAAAGCTTTATTCAGTGCGGGCACTGTTACTATGCCCCCACAGAACCACACATGTTTTTTGACCCTCAGTTTGCTGTACCAATTACTTTAACTCAATCATGACAAACTGAGTTGAGTTAAAGTAACTGGAGTGCAGTGGTGCAATCTCGGCTCACTGCAACCTCTGCCTCCTGGATTCAAGTGATTCTTCTGCCTCACCCTCCCGAATAGCTGGGACTACAGGTGCCCTCCACCATGCCAGGGTAATTTTTGTATTTCTAGAAGAGACGGGGTTTCAACCACATTGGCCAGACTGGTCTCGAACTCCTGACCTCGTGATCCATCGCTACTAAAAATACAAAAATTAGCCAGGCATGGTGGTGTGTACCTGTAATACCGGCTGCCCTGGAGGTTGAGGCAGGGGAATCGCTTGA